TTTTGGCATGGTCATCTCCCCTGGGGGGTGATTTCTCGCTTTCTGTCTCTCTCTCTCTGGTGAGTGCCTATGTCCTATAGCAAAAATCTCTCTAAAAAATAGTAGGTTTGGAGGCCAGCAGACAGGTTGAGGTGCTAGACTCCCACATAGTTGACCATGGTTCAAGTCCTGAACCTGGTGACTTGAAAATTATCCTGGGTGCATGTACATGTGTGCCTAAAATCCCAGGAGGAGAATGGAGGAGAAGGGATTGTGGCATGGCCATCCTCCCTGGGAGGTGATTTCTCAATTTCTCTCTCTGTCTCTGTCTCTCTATCTCCAGTGAGTGCATGTGCCCTATGGCAAACTATCTTAAGCAAACAAGTCTTAAAGACTTGGCACTTTTTTTCCTTTTTGAACTTATTTGAATATTAGTATCAAAAACAGTCCCACCCTACAGTGTTCCTGTGTATATCAGCAATAAACAACATCTCCCTTTTTGGGAAAGTTGGCTTTTTAAAGAACACATGTTGTGTATTTTTTAAAAATAATTCTTTATTTAATTTTATTTTTCATTATTATTCAGTTTGACCAGAGAGAGAGGGAGGGGAAGGGAGAGAGGAAGCAAGCTGCTAGCTCTGGGACTCAAAGTGTGGTTGGTCACGTGGAAGGCTACCACCATGCCATGTGCCTGCCAGACTTTGTGTATTTTGGTAGAACCTCATCCTAAGTTTCTTTGGATTTGATTTCTTTGGGTTCATCTTCATTAAACTTCACATTTTTCACTTGCTTGGACACATTACTTACATTTTCAGTACCCATGATACACTTACTTTCAAAAAGATGGTTATAGGCTCTAACAAAATGATCCTTGTCAGCTGTCTTGGCCACGTTTTTAATGTTTCCCAGTAATTTATGTTCGTTACAAAGCAAATCTGAACTGTGTTCCTGCAGAAACTTGGTAACTTCCTTTTGGGGCAGCTGCAACTTGTGAAGTTGCTTCATAGTCCACCCCTGCTGTGGAGCATGGCCTTCCCCTGCTGCCTCTGTTTTACCCTTGAATCTTTGATTTTAACCTCCCTATATCACTATATTTAAAGTGAAATTCTTGTCAACAGAAACATATAATTTTTTTTATTCCCAATCACCAGAGGATGTATTCACTCACCATAGACAGAGGGAAAGAAAAGAGAAAGAGGAGGGGACCAGCAGTTAGCGTAATGGCTATGTCACTGGACTTCCACGTAATCTACCACAGTTCGCATCCTGGACCTGGTGCTTATGCTGGGCGCGCGTGTGTGTGTGTGCCCAAGATCCCAAGAGGAGAACGGAGGAGAAGGGATTGTGGCATGGCTATCCCTCCTGGGCGGTGATTTCTCGCTGTCTCTCTGTCTCTCTCTGTCTTTTTGGTGCGCTCATGTGCCCTATAGCAAAAACCTCTCCAAAAAAGAAAAAAGAAAAAAGAAAGAAAGGAGAAAGGGAGAAAGCATCCATCCATGGGGCGTGGTCATGCCACAATCCCTTTTCTTTCATTTTCCCTTCCTGTTTTGGTTTTGGGTCTGTAGCATGTGTACCCAGCATGTTTTGAGGCCTCCAGATCCATGGGATCAAGTTGCCTTAACCACCAGGCCATGGGCTGGCCCGAGAGCATTGTTGTTGTTTAGCTTTTTTCAATCTATCCAATTATGTTTTGAGGTTGTTGGCTTCTTCAGCTCCAAGTCTGGAATGTATAAGGCAAAAAGAAAATCCAGGAAGCTCATCACTGTGTCATTCTTCAGCTATCAAAAATCATAACACATTAAAGTACTTTGCACAGATAAATCTTGACAGTGTTGTCCAAATCTCCTCACATTTTGAAAGGTTCCAAGTTCTGAGTTTGCTTAATGTTTTTAATAGGAGGATATTCGTGTATCTTATGCTGTCATACCCGCCCCCCCCCCCATAGGGTGCATGTGCTCATCAGAGAAAGAGGGAAAGTTAGAAATCACTTCCTGGAGAGATGACCGCTCCACAATCCCTTCCTCTCCATTCTCCTATCACGATTTGGGCATGCTTGCACACATGCTTGGCATGTTTTTCAGGACTCTGGATCCAGGACTTGAACAAGGGAGTTGGCCATGTGGGACCCAGTGCCTTAATTACCTGATGGCCCTGCCTCTATTGTACCTTTTGTAATAAATGAATTACCACATTGAACTACCATTAAAATGTGTAAACCATTTTATTTTAATTGCAAGAGGGTATGTGCACTCGCTAGAGAGAGTCACAGAGAGAGCACCCCTCCCTCCAGGGTGTGTGGTTATGCCACAATCTCTTCTCCTCCATTTCTCCATCCTTTTGGAATTTAGGGCACACAGGCACTTGCATCTGAGGTGTTTTTTCAAACTGTAAAGCAGGATTTGAACTATGGTCAGCCATGTGCAATCTGAATCCTTTAACCATTAGGCTATGGGGCCAGCCTTGACTTTTTTTTTAAGAGAGAGATTTTTGCTACAGGATGTATGCTGGAAAGACAGAGAGACAGCGAGAACTCATCTCCCAGAGAGGATGGCCACACTGCAATCTCTTCTCCTTAGTTCGCCTCTTGGGATTTTGGGCATGCATGCACACACACATGCCTGGCCTGAATTTTTTTTTTTTTGGGGGGAGAGCTTTTTGCTATAGGGTGCGTGTGCTCGCCAGACAGACAGAGAGAGACAGAGAGAGAAAGCGAGAAATCACCCCCCAGGGGGGATGGTTACGCCACAATCCCTTCTCCTCCATTCTCCTTTTAGGATCTTGGGCACGCACGCACATGCGCCCGGCGTGAGTTCAAGCCACCAGGTCTGGGACTTGAACCATGTTTGACTACGGGAGTCCAGTGACATAGCCATTACGCTAACTGCTGGTCCCACCTGGTCTGACTTTTAAGCCACTGGTCCGGTACAAGTAATGCAGTCGACTATGTGGGACTCCAGCATGCCATTCACTGGTCCTGAGATAATTATTTTTTAAATAATTATTTTATTTAAAATTTTATTATTTAATTTGACCAGAAGAGAGAGAGAGAGAGAGAGAGAGAGAGAAAGAGCAAGCCGCCAGGCTGGGACTTGGACTATGGTCAAACATGGAGTACAGTACATTAACCACCATGCCACCTGATGGCACAAGATCACTCTTTTTTTTTTTTTTCCTTATGAGAGGTTTGTGCTATAGTGCCTGTGATCTCACCAGAAAGACAGAGAGACAGAAGGGCAGAAGAAATCACACCCTGGACAGGATGGCCACACCACAATCCCTTCTCCTTCATTCTCCTCTCGACATCTTGGGCAGGCTCACACATGTGCCCAGTGTGTTTTAGGTCGCTGGGTCCGAACTCAAACCATGGTTGACTACATGGGAGTCCAGTGACATAACCATTATGCCATCCACTGGTTTCCAAGACTGTTTTTTAAAAAGAGCTTCTACTTTATTCTGACCACATTTCTCAGTCAAACTTTTATATGTAGCTTATAAAGTCTTAGTTATAAATTGGACTGAAGTTCAGGGGTTTACTAGTAGGTTATTCTCAAATTATTCCCTCTAAAAAGGTACTCTTTGCATTAGATTTAATTTTTCAATTCAAATATAAACTATTCTAAGATTTCCAGTATGTGAACTTGATAAGGATTCAATATCCAATTTTTAGTTGGAATACGACAATTCTTGGTTTAATAAGAAAAAAGGTATGGTTGAAAATTCGATATAGGAATAAAGATCTGATGGGTAATTTGGAATGATGACTTTTGGAAATAAATGTAAGTCCAACATTTAGGTCATTGTGTTACATAACAAGCAATAAAGGAAAGTGTCCCAAATATATTTATTTTAACATTGTAGGTTTTTCAAAAAAATGATTGTTTTCGCAGAACACTGAAGGAATTTTAAATATGTTCTAGAAAATTTATAAAATATCATATGTAAGTAACTATGTGTGTGTATAATAAAGTCATTTTAAAAATAAACACACAAACTCTCCTAGTGTAAGGTAAACTTTAATAGCTAAAGAACCTTATTTTAAAACTCCAACATTTAATTACAAATATTTAATTTAAAAATGAGCTGATAAATCATCTTAAATAAAATGATGTAATGAGAGGTTATTTAAACATATCCTAAATGTCCCTAAATCCAATCATAGCATCTTTGTGATGGAAGCATCACCATCTTGTCAGTGGAAGATACTTAATTTCTTACATTCAAATGAGATTTGAAATATCCTGGTTCTTCAAAGGAAATAATACTGAAAATGATGGAATTGAAAATATTACGAATAATCTTTGGGAAGATCAACGAATTGATCTAAACTTTACATTGACCACAGGATGTCGCTGTATACCACAAAGTCATGTCAATGTACATCAGATACCGATCTCTCAAAATTGAAGGCGGAAGCTCCATTTTGTTATCGTCCGAGAAGAGACAAGCGGTAGGGAGATAAATGATTGAAAATATGAAGTAAATAAGCTTTATTCCGAAGGAAGGTGAGAGCAGCACGAAAGGTATAGTGTTTTTGCGATGCTATTTTCCAGAAGAGGAGGCCCGGGAGCCCGGTGTCTGCTGCTCTCGCTTTTTCTACTCGAATTCTGCGAGACTGGGAGCAGCCAGCTCCATTACTCGGTCTCCGAGGAAGCCAAACACGGCACCTTCGTGGGCCGCATCGCGCAGGACCTGGGGCTGGAGCTGGAGGACCTGGTGCCCCGCCTGTTCCGGGTGGCGTCCAAGGGCCGCGCGGACCTTCTGGAGGTAAATCTGCAGAATGGCATCTTGTTTGTGAATTCTCGGATCGACCGGGAGGAGGTGTGCGATCCTAAATGTCCCTAAATCCAATCATAGCATCTTTGTGATGGAAGCATCACCATCTTGTCAGTGGAAGATACTTAATTTCTTACATTCAAATGAGATTTGAAATATCCTGGTTCTTCAAAGGAAATAATACTGAAAATGATGGAATTGAAAATATTACGAATAATCTTTGGGAAGATCAACGAATTGATCTAAACTTTACATTGACCACAGGATGTCGCTGTATACCACAAAGTCATGTCAATGTACATCAGATACCGATCTCTCAAAATTGAAGGCGGAAGCTCCATTTTGTTATCGTCCGAGAAGAGACAAGCGGTAGGGAGATAAATGATTGAAAATATGAAGTAAATAAGCTTTATTCCGAAGGAAGGTGAGAGCAGCACGAAAGGTATAGTGTTTTTGCGATGCTATTTTCCAGAAGAGGAGGCCCGGGAGCCCGGTGTCTGCTGCTCTCGCTTTTTCTACTCGAATTCTGCGAGACTGGGAGCAGCCAGCTCCATTACTCGGTCTCCGAGGAAGCCAAACACGGCACCTTCGTGGGCCGCATCGCGCAGGACCTGGGGCTGGAGCTGGAGGACCTGGTGCCCCGCCTGTTCCGGGTGGCGTCCAAGGGCCGCGCGGACCTTCTGGAGGTAAATCTGCAGAATGGCATCTTGTTTGTGAATTCTCGGATCGACCGGGAGGAGCTGTGCGGGCGGAGCGCGGAGTGTAGCATCCACCTGGAGGTGATCGTGGACCGGCCGCTGCAGGTTTTCCACGTGGAGGTGAAGGTGAAGGACATTAATGATAATCCACCGATTTTCAGACACAGAGAACAAAGACTATTTATTCCTGAATCTAGACTGCTGGATTCACATTTTCCGATAGAGGGCGCTTCTGATGCAGACGTTGGTACCAACGCTCTTCTAACATACACCCTCAGCCCCAGTGATTATTTCTCTTTGGATGTACAGGCAAGTGATGAATTCAGTAAATCTCTTTCACTTGAACTGAAGAAATCTTTGGATAGAGAAGAAACACCAGAACTTCATTTATTATTGACAGCTACTGACGGGGGCAAACCAGAACTGGAAGGTACAGTTCAGCTGCTGATCACGGTGCTAGATGTTAATGATAACGCCCCACTGTTTGATCAGGCAGTGTATAGAATTAACTTATTAGAGACTACCGAAAACGGAACATTAGTGGCCACATTAAATGCTTCTGATGCTGACGAAGGTGTAAATGGCGAAGTTGTCTTTTCCTTTGGTAGTGATGTTTCTCTTAACATTCAACAAAAATTCAAAATTGATTCCAGCTCAGGAGAAATCAGAGTAATCGGTACACTGGATTATGAAGAAACAAAATCGTATGAGATAAGAATAAAGGCGGTAGATAAAGGCAGTCCTCCAATGTCAAATCATTGCAAGGTTTTGGTGAAAATGCTGGATGTAAATGATAATGCCCCGGAACTGGTGATCACTTCTCTGTCTTTGCCCATCAGAGAGGACGCTCCACTGGGCACTGTAATCGCCCTCATCACGGTGTCAGACCGCGACTCAGGTACCAACGGGCAGGTGACCTGCTCCTTGATGCCCCATGTCCCCTTCAAGCTGGTGTCCACCTTCAAGAATTACTACTCGCTGGTGCTGGACAGCGCCCTGGACAGAGAGAGCATTTCTGACTACACCGTGGTGGTGACAGCGCGGGACGGGGGCTCGCCTTCGCTCTGGGCCACCGCCAGCGTGTCGGTGGCGGTGGCTGACCTGCACGA